TTTTTGCAGAAAGAAGAAAAAGTAAGTACCAGCCGCCATCCAGCTGTGCGTTACCAGGACCACAGCAGTGAGCAAATGGAGTGCAGGAGGCACAAGCTTTATTCAAAGTAGACGTTTTGTCATAAAGAAACAAACCAAGAGGCCATCTACTACAAACAAGATCTAAGAACAAAAAGTGGCCACCTGAAGCAGGCAGAGACTTGCTTCTTCATCAAATCAGCTATTCACAAATGGTCTGTAGGGTGATCAAGGAAAGGCAGGGAGCATGGAGGCAAAGGTCCTCTTAAAATCCTAAAAGGAAGTTCCATATCTACACAACAGCTCCCAGTCAACTCCTGACTGTATCTCTTTCTCTTTCTCTGTCTCTGTCTCTGTCTCTCTCTTTCTCTCAAGACAGGGTTTCTCTGTTTAGCCTTGGCTGTTCCGGACTCACTTTGTAAACCAGGCTGTCCTCAAACTCGAAGAGATCTCCCAGTGTCTGCCTCCCTGAGTGCTGGAATCACAGGCTTGTGCCACCGTGCTGGCTGTCTTTCTATGGTGTTGGCCATGAACCCAAGGCTCACTGTCAAGTACTACAGAAATATTGCAGTGCTTTTCAGAGAGTTTTTCTATATTTCAATATGTACATGGTTACATTTGAAAGTGACAGGTCCATCATAGGCAGACAAGGGTCACCAACCACACTGGTGAATGACGTGAAAATGGTGTAATGGTTGGCATGGTCTGCGGGTGTCCTTACTTTAAAAGTTTTCAGCCTTTCTCCATATAGCTACTTGTCCGTGCTAAAATAGGAATTTTTAGCCCCACCTTGAGAACAACTGCACACAAGGAGACCACATGTCCTGCATGCAGCCCTATTCAGTTTAAGCCCTTTTATAGTATAGCATCACTAAATGATACAAATTCTTAGTTTAAATAAAGAGGTTTGAATTCATTGACATGCACAGCATTTCTTGTAGCCATATTAGTTAACAGCTACAAAAGACATTTCCTCTTCTATGGGTACTGTTTAGAATTCAATTTATACAACCCATCATCATAGGGTAATATTAATAAAGTCATGAAAATGCTCAAAAAATGGATATGTACTTAAAATTTAAAAATTTTAACTCAGTGGCTGGCTCTTTGATCACCTTCCCCTGATGGGGGAGCAGCCTTACCAAGACACAGAGGAAGACAATGTAGCCAGTCCTGATGAGATCTGATAGACTAGGGTCAGAGGGAAGGGGAGGAGGATCTCCCCTATCAGTGGACTGGGGAAGGGGCAGGGAGGAGATGAGGGAGGGAGGGGACAAGGAAGGGGGCTACAGCTGGGATACAAAGTGAATAAATTGTAATTTAAAAATAAAGTAATAAGACTCTAAAAAAATTTCTGTCAATACTGTTAACATAATGAGTGATGGTTAAAAGACTGACAGGGAAGGTGGACACAATTCTGTAAATCCCAGCACTTAAGAAATTAGAGACATGAAGATAGCCATGAATTTGAGAGCAGTCTGAGCTACATAGCACCAAACAAGCTCTGTCTCAAAACAAAACCTTAGACAAATAAAAGAAGTAAAAAGCAAGAAGGACACAGCACTTTTGTTGAGGATAGAAAGAGTCTGTTCTTCCAGAGTCTCCAGTAACCAAAACATTAGAAATTCCCAGTTGTGCAAAAAATACAAGAAAGAGAAACTGAAATAATACAGGCCAGAACATAGAATTTTTTAAATGACTATAGTCACAAATAGTAGAAGAGTCCAAAGAATCTTTCCAAACAAACAAACAAAAACTCTAGAACTAATAAATTATCTTCACAATATTGATATAAGATCAATTAACAAAATTAACTTTTTCACATAGTAGAAATTAACATTTACAAACTGAGATACTAAAAATGTCATTCATGCCAACCAGTGACTGGCCTAATTTGAGTCCCCCACACCACCTCAGCCTCACTACTGGGGACCTATGTCCTACACTGCCTTGATGACCAGAAACAGAAGGCTGAATAGCCCAGAGAAGTTGACTGACCAAATAAATAAATAAAATTATTCTTAATGATATTCTGTTATATTCATAGAATCATGCCTAGTTCAGAAGTCATCATCAGAGAGGCTGCCTCTGGCAGCTGGTAAGAGTGATGCAGACACTCACAGGCAAACATTAAGGACTAAAGAGCCCAGGTTGGAGGTGTCCCTCCCCTCAGAGCTCTGGGAATCCTTCTTGAGACAGGGAGAAAGAATTTTAGGACTAGAGGGGTCAAAGACACAGGGAGATCACAGCCCCAGCCCTGGGGATCAACTAAGCCCAGTTCATGGGGGCTCAGACACTGAAGCTACTATTGAAGAGCCTACATGGGTCTGTGCTAGGTCCTCTGTGTATGTGTTGTTGTCACTGGCGTGGGATTTTGGAGTGGGACTAGGGGTGTCTCTGACTCTTTTACCTGCTCTTGGGACCCTTTTCCACCTAGTGGGCTGCCTTACCCAGCCTTGATGTGAGGTTTGTCCCTGGTCTTATTGTATCTTGTACCGAGTTCTATTGATGTTTCTGGGGGGCCTGATTTTTTCTAGGGGAAGCAGGAGTCAGGGGATGGATCTGGGGGAAAGAGGACGGATGTGGCAGGGGCCACTGAGAGAAATGGAGGGAGAGAAAGCTGTGGTTTGGGATGTACTGTATAAGAGAAGAATAAACAAAAACTGTTAAAAGTGCCATTCACAATCACATTGAGAAGTTTAGTAAACTCAATGAAATATGCCTAAGACATGTTTCCTGACAACTATGAAACATGACTAAGAGTAACAGAACAAAATAAAGGGGAAAATATACTTAGTTTATGGATCAACACTGTTAACATGACTATTCTCTCCAGATTATTCTGTACATTCAACCCAGTTAATCAAAATCTGGATATGTGTTTTGTAGAAATAATCAAACGGATTAAATTTAAATGAAAATGAAAATTATTTATAATACTCAAATCAGTTTCAGAAGGATCCTACATCATAATTTAAATATTTATTTTTTATAAAAACCTGTAATGATCAAGATAGCTCAGTAGTAGCCTAAGGCATGTAACAACTACATTAGCACAGAACATCCATAAATGTACCCATTTAAATAAATATACATATATATACATATACACACATATAGCTATGCCTTATTCTCAACTAAAGTATCTAAATAACTACACAGAAAAGCTAAAGCTTTTTTTATTTAAAAAGATTATTTGTTTTTATTTTATGTATAGAGATGTTTTGCTTGCATCTGTATACCAAGTACATACAACTGACAACAGAAGCCAAAAAAGAGAAAAGATGCCATTGATCTGAGTTACAGAGAAGGTGATAGGCTGATATGTGGATTGTGGGAACTAAACTGGTATCTTTAGAAAGAGCAACCAGTGCTCTTGATCTGTGAACCATCTCTCCAGCCCAAAGGCCAGAGCTTTTAACAACCTATGCTGAAGGTTGAAACAACTTCTTATCACATGGAAAAAATAAAATCAACTTATATTTTTACCCCACCATTACATGCTGCGCCATTTTGCACAAATTGAAACTGAATATAACCATCAATGTAAAATCTAAGATGAGCCAGGCAGTGGTGGTACACGTCTTTAGTTCCAACAGGTAGGAGGTAGAGGCAGGCAGATCTCTGGGTTCAAGGCCAGCCCAGTCTGTAGAGCTAGTTCCAGGGCAGCCAGGGCTACACAGAGAAATCTTTCTTGAAAAACAAAAACAAACAAACAAACCTAAGTGTTAAAGATATACTAGCAAGAAATAAGACAGCTTAATTTAAAAAAAAGCTTAAGAGAATTAAGAAAATCAATTATATAATTCAACATTATTTAACATAAGTTTTTAAGTGTTTAGAATTTTTGATCAACATAAGTGAGTTTTTCAGTACAGACACTGTACAACTGCACTTACATAAGTTCAATATCACATCTACTACTCCAATAGTCATCTAAAAACTCTCAAGAGTCCCACTGCCATGCCTATTTCATTGTTTCAGAAACACTACTGTAAGTGTTACTTTACATGATTTAACCTGGTAAGTTAGAGTTGGCTCATTTTACGTCCTGAAGCCACCTGCAATGATGATTTAGATAGTACTTCCTCCCTCTATCTTATACATAGCCTTCCTGGACATGGTGATGATCTGAATTGTCACAGACATTTCCTTCCCTAGTTTTCCTGAGAACCAGAGCATCCTAAAGTAAGGCTTTATTTTTACTGTCAGTGACGAGAGACAAAAGGTGCAGGGGATGAAGAGGGAAGCCCATTGACGGTAGCAGTGGCTTGTTATAAGGCCAGGTTCTGCCAGTCAGCATCAGTACAGGACAGGGCTCTAACATTTCCTCCAGGACAAGATGCCGCTATGCAGCTGGGCAACCAAAGGGTCTTGGTTGGGTAGACTGTAGATTCATCCCTGCTTAAAATGTACCCTGCTAGTACCCTCAGTCAACCGAGCTTTCATTTTTTAAGAAATCAGTGCTAGTGAGGCATGATTTTAGCACGATAAAGCACACACGCTTTAAAAGTACAGTTTGATGAAGCATGAGGCATGTACGACTGTGTAAACACCATGGCATTTCCATCATTCATATGCTCTCTTTGTTCCTTCTCTTCTACTAGGGTAGGCCGATGATCTATCTCTATCACTGTAGATTTAAAAAAATAATAATAATTCTTTGATTTAAAAAAAATTCACAAAAATTTACATTTTACTTTAGGTCCATGAATTATGTCAGGAAATCATAACTCAGGAGGTCAAATTTCCCCAAGATCATGATACTATTGTCAATGTTTTGACAGTGATGTGTCATCTAAAAATTAAAAAAAAAATCAGCCGCAGCTAGACTCTAGAGAATTTCACCAGCCAAAAACAAGAAGAACTGTAAAACACACATTTTTATCTCAGGAAACATCAGATGGTTTGTTTTCTGCCATGCTTGTCGTCTTCCAAGAGGGAAATGCAGTTAGGAAGGAGTGTGGCTGCTAACCCCTTACCTGTGGGAAGATGCAGTGTGATGTTGTTGCAGAAGTCTGTGAAACAGCATTCGGTTTTGGTCACATTGTTGGAACTGTGGCAGAAGACCTGAGCATTCAGTTCCGGGAGGGACACGCAGGATTTGATCACCTGTTCTTTCCCATTGGTCAGCATGACAGAGGCCCAGCATGCTCCTTCAGTTTGGCAGGTAAAGTTTGAAGAATCACACAAAAGACACACACACTTCAATCCTGGAGAGAGTAAGGCAGGAAGCTTTAGAATGCAGATGATGGATGAGTTACATTGTGATACTTGAGAATAGAAATTCAGTCTTAATGAAATTTGAAGACAGGTTGTAAAATGATAAAGACCCTCTTGATCCTGTGCTTCATCAAACAGGCTACTCAATGAATTATCCTTTGCATAGCTACTATAATTTATACAATTGTTTCTATAGTTACTGTGTTTTCCTGCTCCATGCTCTAAATCCTTCTTAAGCTCAATCAGTTTACTCCTAAACTGATAGCTCCTACCAAACGCTAGGAAACAGTATCTCAGCAACAGGAGGAGCTGGCTGGCCCAGCATCCAGAACAATGACGTGAGGTGAGGACAACTGCAACCCAACAAGCCAGCATGATCTGTTCATTTACACTTCTCCAGACTTTTAAATGGATGTTTTGGACTCAGTATGAATTATACAGATGTATAGGTCTAAAGCTAGTGGTGATGGTTATATTCTCTACACCTTAAGGTTGTTATTGCTGTTGTAGTCACCTTTAAGGCATTGACGAACCATTTCACTTGCCCCTTCCACTAAGGAATGTATCTAGGAATGAAAACCATTTTAATGGACACTTTAACCCTCAGACAATTGTTTAATGTGCACCTCTGTGGCACAGAAGAAAACACATTGAGAATAGAGTTTAATATAATGATGACAACTTTCAAAATGTTGACATTGTTAAGTTAATCTGTTTATTAAGATGTCATTTTAACATTGTCCTTACCGCACGCACACTCTCACAAACAAATGTTCAGACTGTTTGATATTTGTCTTGATATGAAATGGTACCAGTATAGAGTCTAGAGGTTATAATTTATTCAGATTTTCATTTCAATATATCATTTCTAAATACTGTGATTGTAAGTATTTCTATCATGACTTTAATGAATGTTTTGTTAAATCATAACTTCTCCATCCAATTATCTTAATATCCAAAGTTTTGCCATATACTCACTAGTAATAAAATTAGTCTTTGAATTTCTAATTACTAAAGCTAGACCAATTTTAAACTAATAAAATCTTCAACTTGTAAATGAGTAATCATGAATAACTACTCTTTTTATCAATAGTAATGAGCTGTGGTAGAATTGCATAGTCTAGTTTGGCTGAGATTCCAGAGAGCCAGGTGTACAAAACCTGGTGATTAAGAAACGTGCTAAGGGGGCTGGAGAGACGGTGCATCCACTAAAGGCTGAGGCTCACAACCAAAGAGACTGGAAAACGTGTTAAGGTGGAGCACATCTTTAATCTCAGCACTCAGGAGGCAGAGGCAGATGGGAGGTCCAGGCCAGCAGGGCTACAACAGTGGGACCCTGTCAAGAACAACAACAACAAAAGCGCATGAAGTCAGTTCACAGCCTTTATCCCCCTTGTCTCTGACTGTCGAGTCACAGCATTTCCCAAGCTGGCAAATGTCTTCATCACCTGATTGTACAAGCTTTCCCCGTCAAGGACATTTTTTGGTCCCCCTGGGCCTCATCCGAAAGGTGATATCTACAATGACAGCATGCCTCCTCATCCTGTCGCTGTGGAGAGTAAATTGATCGTGTCAATCCTTCGCACCCATTTCTGGCACAGAGGGAATATGACACGCGCATTTCTAACCACTTCTGCTAGCACTCAAGAGAGTAAAACTAGTTCTCTTACAGAAGCCATCAACAGACCTCCATACTCCCCGCAAGAAAAGCTGCACAGAGCAGTCTTCTAAGCAGCTTCTTAAAAGGCCTGAGAAGTGTGTCTCTCTCTGCTCTAAGCAGCTTCTTAAAAGGCCTGAGAAGTGTGTCTCTCTCTGCTCTGCCAGTGGGACTGAGGATCCTCATGTTTCTCAAGGCCTAGGCTGGGTTTTCATTCCACTCGTTTTTAGCGACTAGCAATAAAATATATCTCTAATGTAACAGAAAAAAAATAATGCTGAAGAAATAACGACTCAGGTCTGATTTGTTTGCAGAAGCTTCCGGGCATTTCTTAAGTTTCATCACAGCAAGTACAAACAAGAAAGGAGGGTCTCAGCCCTGGCCTTGTTCCTCACTTGCTGGCTGACTGTGGAAAGCCACAGCGTCCTCTGCAAAAGAACCAAAGTGAGGACACTAGGTCCAGAAATCTTGACATCCCCTGTGGAGCACTATCTGCATTTTGCAGATATAATGACTCAACATCTGATACTATGAAGCCTAAAAAATACTAGCCACTCTATGTCTGATCTATATGTAAGGAGCTGGGAGTGAGTAGATTCGCCCTTTGACATACTATCTCAAACCCTTGTCACTATGGTCATCAGAATCTTAACTTTTCTGGACTTGGGAGCTGCCTCAGCAGTTAAGAGTCCTTGGTTCTCTTGCACAGGACCTGGATTTGCTTCTCACTGCCCAAATGATTGCTCATAATTATCTCCAGCTCCAAGGTACGCACTGCCCTTCCTAGCCTTCCCAGGCACTGCATGCACCTGATGCCCAGACATACATGCAAGAAAAAGAACCATATATATGAAGTAAAAAATAAATAAATTTTTTTTTAAAAAAAATCTTTTTTGTTGTTGTTTTTTTTTTGTTTGTTTTTGTTTCCAGGAAGTCAAGGTAACCAACTAAGGGAGATAGGGACCCACTGAGTAAAAACAGCCATCAAGAAGGCAACATTTAAGCTGATTTCATGTGTATTTATCATGGTGTACAATTCCCAGGGCTTGTTGTCAGTGTTTGCATTTTGCAGCTAGGAAATGAGGTGCGAAAAAAATCAAGTAATTGACTGAATATAACAACCTCTTGACTACACACATAATCTTGTTTCTAGCCCACCAAAGCTACCATAGTGTTAAGAACTGTTCTGTTCACCCCACTAGTTTCTAGAAGCTAAATAAAATATAATGTCAACATAACAGAAATAAGTTAGTCATTATTATTGATATCTGAAATTTTGATCTGTACTACTTCAATGAAATTTAAGACACGGTGGATATTTTTAGGCAAATCCTATCTGCAAGTTTACTGACAGGACAGGTGGTCAAATAAAAATCATTACCATGGGCCTTGCAGCTAGAACAAATATCTAAATTATTTTTTTCTAAATTGCTTATCTAATTCTGCACTCTGAGGACCTCCCACTCACATCCCTTATATCTCTTTTCAAGTGAATCTTTATAAAAAATAATTACATACTATTTTCTTACCACAGAGTGATCTGCATTTTCCACTAATTTTTTAACAAGCTATTGGATTTCTTTCAGTTTAAAGTAAAAGGTACAAGCCAGGATAATATAGACCTTAGTGAAGGCATAGAAAACCACACCTCACTTTTAAACCTTGCATAATAGAAAGCACTGACAAACTTGAGGATTGTTAATGGTAACAGGTTCAAACATCTGTTCAATGTCCTCACTTACTCCGAGTCAGTTGGCAGACTACTGCACCGGCAGGTACAGCAAACTAAGTGAGACCTACGATGTGAAAGAAACGTGTGCCATATTCTGTCTCTCATCTCCCACTTCCCACCAGTCTACTGCGTAGTTGCATTTGTATAATTAGAGGATCTTTAAATCATCCATCCTCAACACAGAACCTTAAGCTGCCAATTAAAATGGAGGTTGCCGTTATTGATTTGATTTATGCTTTTTAGTTTCGCTTTTTAAAACCTGATGCTAATAGAGTCAGCTCTAGAATCTTCCATAGCAGGATAAAGCTGGTTGCTAGCGGATAGCAGTCCCTTCTTGTGGCTGTTTGTCCTCCACTTTCCCTTACGATGTACTTAGTCATATGGTATAAGACAGCAAATGAGGTTGAAGAAAGAGGCAATTACCCATAATAAGGAGGTCTATTAGATCTTTCTCCAACACGAAGACTGCACTTTTCTCGTGTCTCTTCCCACCCCTTTAATTATCTCCCTTTTTCGCCCTCTTTGCCAATTAGTCTGTAAAAGCCAAGACATCTGTTACCCAAAAGACATCTGTTACCCACGTCTACCAAAGGATGTGCACATTCCTAATCAAACAGAAAGTAAATTTTCATTCATATTTACACACCATGACTAGCACACCCTGTTGACAGAAGTCTAACAACCAGCAGGCTACAAAGTGTGTGTGTGTGTGTGTGTGTGTGTGTCTGTCTGTGTGTGTGTGTGTGTGTGTGTGTGTGTGTGTGTGTGTGTGTGTGTTTAGGTACTATGTCATCAAAAAGACAAATATTCTTGACAAACAATTTGGGATGGTACTTCCTTATGATGTATTTACTTTCCCTGTTTCTGACACGTGGAGCCCACGTACAGAACTATGGAGGGACCAAGCTGAACAACTCTGACTCCTTACTCATTCCTCCTTCCCAGATATTTCTTTACATCATCCACTAGCTGCATTTTTAGCCCAGGCTATCAAGCTCTATTTCCTTCCTTCCTTCCTGCTTTCCTTCCTTCCTTCCTTCTTTCTTTTTCTTTCTTTCCTTCTTTCTTTCTTTCTTTCTTTCTTCCTTTCCTTCTTTCTTAATTTGGAAAATGTGTAGATGTGAAACACTGAATGTTTAATCTTTTCATTATTTGTAGGTTTCTGAATTAACAGAGGGAGCAATCCAAGCTCATCAAAGAGCTTCGAGTGAACAGGGAAGCCACAAGACAGATTGTCAGTAGAGAATCGGAGGGGATTACAGAGCCTCAAAGCCTTTGCCCTGTAGCCCTTCCCTGCCTCCCTTTTCGACTGATCTTACTATGTCACTATACTGCCCAGCTGGTACTGGACTTAGGTAATCCTCCTGCCTCAGCCTTCCAAGTGCTTGGACTACGGGCATATGCCATTCAGCTTTCCTTTTTTTTTTTTTTTTTTTTTTTTAAATTGGTAAGGAAAACAAGATGGAAAGAAAAACAGTGTTAAAGAAATATGGGCAACATAAACGTAACTCGTTGGCCTAGAGAACTTTTAATAAAGACTCGGCACATAGAAAACTCTATTTGTTAGGCTATCTTTGAGAAAATATTCTTTTGGACAAAGT